TAAATTAATTAAAAATATTATAATTTAAGATGTAATTTCACAACTTATATATATATAATAATAATTTTTAATTTAATATTCTAAAGGCTGAAAATTGAGATGATGCCTCATGATATCCATAGATCGCTAGTTTAGTTCATACATAAATTTACTTTTGTTTAATCTTATCGCAGTTTATTCCGTGACGTTGGTTATTCATTTTTTAAATTAAATATTTCGCAATTTTATTTAAATTATTTAATGAAACAACTGTTTAATAATAAAATGAAAATATAAAATAAAAATCTAAAATTCAAGTATATTTTTAAAAGTAAAGTAAACATAGAATGCTTGAATAATTATTTATAAATAATGAATTAAATTAAGAAGTATTAATACAATAAAATTTATCTCGATAAGTTTTATTTTAATAATTTATTATTCATATATATTAAAAATAAATCAGAAAAATTTACATTGATAGATGTCGCTTCAAACTTTCAGAGTTGAATGTATTTCTACTGAAATTTCAGTAACTTTAGCAATTTTTATAAAAATAATAGAAAATATAAACGTTTAAATTAAAAAAAATATTAACACTTTTTACAATAAATATTAAATTAGTGTTTTAGATACATTGACATTTTTTAAACGCGTCGATGAGGGAAATTTTAGGGTATTTTTTACGACATTCTTATCAGGCCGTCTTACTGTGGGGAAAAATGGCGACCACGCTACACGTTTGTAAAGGCACGCCTACCGAAACGTTATTTAATGATTTTCAAACATTAAATAAACTGAACAAAGATCAATTTTGTCGTCTAACAGATATTGTGTTACAGTTTTTAACGTCAAAACAACAATCGCAGTTGTTAGACAAGTTAGAAGCCTACTGCAATGAGGAAAGCCTTAACTTGGCAGGTTTGAAGAATATAATCAAGAGTTTCCTGTTTGTACCCAAAGAAGCCATCAAGAAAGGAATATCAGTGGCACAATTGAGAGAAGATCTACAAAAATTGGGTCTAAACGAAGACAAGATCGATTATTTGGCTAATAAATGGAATAAAGATTATTCAGAAATAGCAAAGATGCATTTGAATGAATTGGTAATGGTTAATCGTTTAGTGGACATGGAGTGGAAATTTGGAGTTACTGCAGCTAGTAGTGAATTAAATAAAGTTGGAAACACTTTTCTACAGTTGAAATTGGTTATCGATCAAGGGAACAATAGATTACAGAATGTATATCTGGAGCTTTCGCTGTCACAGTTCTATTCCTTTTTGCACGAAATGGAGAGAGCGAGGGCAAGTTTAGAATATTTGAGTTAGAACGGCGGTCCTGCAAATGGCTGTAAGGTTCCAAATTTCATATCAGTAAATTTCATTGATGATTTGAAAGGATGATAGATTACAGAATGTGTATCTGGAGCTTTCTGTGTTGCGATTTTATTCCTTTTTGCACAAAATGGAGAGAGCAAGGTTAGGATGAATTAGAATTGTGGTCGTGCAAATGGATGTGTGATTCCAAATTTCATGTTAAATTTCATCGATGATTGAAGAGGGTTGCTAGATTTGGAAGCGGGACAATTGATACTTTATAACCTGTGTGATTCAATCGTTATTATTTCAAAGCATTGCAAGTTATATTTGTTGATTAATTGGAAGAAAACTAAATGAATTAACATCTAATTGTGTTTGTAAGAAGCGTAAAGATTAAAATTCTTTCAAGCAATTACTTTGATTTACTAATTGCAATTTTAATTAATGAATTATGCAAGTCGACAGATTATTCATCCATGATTACTCGTAACCGAATATATAAGTGATGATGATTAAAATCTTTACATGCTTGAAAGTTTATTTTGCAAATATTTATTATTATTTTTTTACTTGATTATAAAGTGAAAAAGTGTAAAAGATCATGTAACTCATAAGAACAATAAATAGAGTAAATTAAATTTTTAAACATGTAATAATTTTTCACACAGCTTGTTAATGGATTATTTAACTTTGGTTTTTTTTTTAACATTTTTAATGATTCAGAAGTCACAAATATACTTCAGTAACATTATAAGTATTCAATGCTGAGGAATATTTTGAACGTAGCACACAATTACATCATCAAAAATTACATAAATGTATCCACTTAACACGCCGATAGCTTTGGAAATTAGTAACGCATGCTTAAACGTTCAGTAGAAAGGGTATATGTATTTTTTTTTTGTTTACATTTTTAAAAAATCCTGTGCTGTTTCCCATCTGCTCCAGCAGATGTCAAACCACACACACCATTGACATTTTTTTTTTGTCGATAGTATTACATACACCAGATGTTTGAAGGCTTTATTTAAATTAATACATAACTTCTTCATAAAGATATTTTCCAAACATTAAAACACCATTCCATCCAGCATTAAAATTACAAAAAAAAAAAAAAATTTGCAAAAATCGAAATATCTCTCGACTTTCTCTAAATAAATACATTACTTTTAAAAATAGGAATTTTATTTTAAGTCGGAATTCATTTCGCTGTAGGGGGGTCAATAATATATATTTTAATTCGGAAATAACACGTCACTTCCCGTAACTAACAGAGGGCGCCCGCGACTCACTTCCGCTGTCTGTAATGTCGGCTGCAGGAATTTCAAACAAAAAAAAAATCAAAAATATATAAAGTTTATTTATTTATTTTTACTTATTAATTGTTACACGTCGCGAGTTAATGTTAAATGGTGAAGTTATTGACAGGTTATATTAAGAGTGGGATCGTAATTTCCGTTCATGATCGTCAGTCGACAGCTGTGGCCCCTCTTTGGTGGAAGATAAGATGTCGAGAGGAAAATTAAGAAGTTGCGTCGATGTTTGTGCCGATTGCAATGCCAAAGGTGATTATTACGGTTTAAAAATACTTTATTACGTCATTAATCTTTACAGTAAACGTCACGGATGATCAGTCCGTAATTTCCTAATTAAATGCCATCCACAACCAGAATTTGGTGCATTAAACGCATTAAATATAAAATATTTCCGGATTAGTTGGTGTTTTTTTTAACCAAATCGGTCTTGTTTAAGGTTTAATTTAATATGTATGAGTCTATGCTTTCATATTAAGTTATATCTTCTTTTGTCTTTGCTCCTTTCAATGTTTATATGGGGTTAATGCTTCCATCTTTGATCTGTCTTCTCCACTTCTCTCTTCCATTCCGTGGCCAAGCGGTTCTGTTACCCGAACACTGGGAGTTCGGTCGTGGGTTTGCCCCTCACCGGACTTGTGGAGTTTTCTGGGTTTTCTCCATGTTTGTAATGCCCGAATTGGGGCCTGTTACCCTTAAAAAGACCTCCTGGAAGGCATTCCCCCCAAAAGCAAGCAGAATCTTTCATCAAAAGATTAAAAATGCACAATGCAATTCTGATGTTTCCAAGCACGCAACAATGAAAATTTTATGATTTAATGGTATAAATTCTTATTTTTTCCAATAAATATGAAACTTGGAGAGAATTACGAATAAACACTATGAATATCAAAAGGGATTTCATTTCCTTATAAGTGATTGAATTTTAAGAAGTGTAAAGCATCGAATAATAATTAATTAATTAATTTACAAGCACAAAAAGATAAAAAACTGGCCACTAATCACAACATATCAATTTCAGAATTAAAATTAATACAAAAAAAGAAATAACTTTACAGAAAATTATCTTCCAATTGGGAAATCAAAGGCGTGTAAAAAAAATTAAGAATGCAACTTCTGACGTTTACAAGCACATCAATGACAATTTCACAACGTTTAACGGCATAAACTCTTACGTTCTTCCAATAAATATTGCGAAATTCTACAGGAGAGTTACCAATAAGCATCACGAATACAAAAAGGGAGGTCATTTCCTTAGAAACAACCAAATTTTAAAGAATTTTAGTAGCGTAAATCAGATAAAATACTAGCACAAGATAAAAAATTAACCAACCACAATATATATCAATTATATTCCATACAAAAAAAAAAAAAATTTCCACAGCAAATTATCCATGCTTCTAACTAACTTTAATGCGAAAAATCAAAGACAGAATCTTCCTTCCATCGAAAAATTGAAAATGCACACGGCAACTCACACACACACACACCAATGAAAAGTTCAAAATGTTTAGCAGCATAAACTCTTACTTTCTTCCAATAAATAGCACAAAATTCTACATGAGAATTACCGACAGATAGGAGGAATACGAAAACTGACGTCACTTCCTTAGAAATAACCAAATCTTTAGTAACATAATGCATCAAATAATAATAAATAATAAATCAACCACCGGCACGAAAAGATAAAATGCACCGACAGTCGGAATATATCAATTTTAGAATTAAAAATTCACACAAAAATAAAAAAAAAAAAAACTAATTTCGCAGCAAAACATCGCGCTTCTAACCAACTCTTAACGCGGAAAAATCGAAGGCGGAATCATCCTTCCGCCGAGAAATCCGAAACGCACACAAACAACGACTCACATTCCGCAGAACAATTTTAGGGTCATAAACTCTATATACTTTTTTTTTTTTTTTCCAATAAATATCAAGAAATTCTACATAAAGATTTACCCATAAACACACAAATGACAAGGGGTTGGTGTTTTCCATAAAGTTTAATGGAATTTTCCGTGTGTAAAGAGTGGAGATGGGACGAAATAATGCAACGACTTACTGGCACATAAGGTGAAAAGCTGCCGGACAACGATCACAACATATCAAATCGCCTCCTTCCTTACAACTGTCGCACGAATCGTGATTAACCGCACGTCCAGGTCGACGATAGCGATCCCTTTTCGGTTTCTTACTCTCTTCGCTAGCGGGTGGAGCGATCAGCGCCTGTATTTGCTGCAAAGATGAGTTTATTGAGAGGTGGAAAAACAAAGAAGCCATCTTCCTTCCACTCTCGCATCATCTCCATTACTTACCGGCATAAGACCGCCTGACGTATCCAAATCGTATTCTACGGTTGCCATTTTAATTCGTTGGCGATTTTTACTCCTTTCTCGCTTCTTATTCACTTTAAATAACTTTCCAACTTATCCAATTCAAACGCATTTTGTCGACCCACAAAAATGAACCTAGAAAACTTTAGACAGAAGAATTGACCAACGCCCTCTGGTGTTTATTGAACGTTACATCAGACAAAAAATTAAAACGCAATTTATTAATAGTTCTGGAAGCAGCCGTTGCAATTTTACTAGAAAGCAATCATTTTTTTTATATTATTTTATACAAAAACTATATTACAACTTAACAATACTAATGAACATAAGCATATAATATACTTTTGGTTTTTATCATCACCTAAAACTGCACTTTCAAGTATCTAATAACTAAACAAGAAGAGATTTTTAATTATAAACACCATTTAAGCTGATCTTTTTAAGTTTAATGCCAAATTATACTGGGCTATATTAATGCTACTATTAAATAATTAAATGTACATTTTAGTTACATAAAACCATTGTTTTTATCATCCCCTCCGAACCCAACCTTGTCAATTCCCTGCCCACTCAAAAGCCTGAGCAATACCAGGCATATGTAGCTATCTTTTAACAATAAAAAAATAATGTAAATAGTACAATTGGTCCTTGATCGTATAAAGCCCATCCCTCAAAAGCCCGACCAACACTCGGTGCATGCAGCTAGCAGTTACATAAGCATCATTTTAAAGGGGACAATCTTTTAAATGGTGGAGATGTCTGCACCCACCATTAACCGAGTGGATAACACCACCAGACAATGATAGTTGTTTGCTTTGCACCTCACTAACACTACTCATGTTGACTTTTTTTGAGTTTCCTTCACACCTGTAAGATGTAAATTGGGGCCAGTTTCTCATAAAAAGTCTGAGGAATCTCCCCTCAGCATTTCCATATACAGACAGACAAAGGAGTTATATGCATCTTAACCAAACAATTAAAAATTTAGCCTTTTTCTGAAATATATATGTCTCTGGATTAATCTAAAATTAAGAAAAAACTTATGCACACATACCTATTCTAAATGAACCTCTTGCAATGACACCTGTATACAGTAACACANTTTAAATCGGAATTCATTTCGCTGTAGGGGGTCAATAATATATATTTTAATTCGGAAATAACACGTCACTTCCCGTAACTAACAGAGGGCGCCCGCGACTCACTTCCGCTGTCTGTAATGTCGGCTGCAGGAATTTCAAACAAAAAAAAAATCAAAAATATATAAAGTTTATTTATTTATTTTTACTTATTAATTGTTACACGTCGCGAGTTAATGTTAAATGGTGAAGTTATTGACAGGTTATATTAAGAGTGGGATCGTAATTTCCGTTCATGATCGTCAGTCGACAGCTGTGGCCCCTCTTTGGTGGAAGATAAGATGTCGAGAGGAAAATTAAGAAGTTGCGTCGATGTTTGTGCCGATTGCAATGCCAAAGGTGATTATTACGGTTTAAAAATACTTTATTACGTCATTAATCTTTACAGTAAACGTCACGGATGATCAGTCCGTAATTTCCTAATTAAATGCCATCCACAACCAGAATTTGGTGCATTAAACGCATTAAATATAAAATATTTCCGGATTAGTTGGTGTTTTTTTTAACCAAATCGGTCTTGTTTAAGGTTTAATTTAATATGTATGAGTCTATGCTTTCATATTAAGTTATATCTTCTTTTGTCTTTGCTCCTTTCAATGTTTATATGGGGTTAATGCTTCCATCTTTGATCTGTCTTCTCCACTTCTCTCTTCCATTCCGTGGCCAAGCGGTTCTGTTACCCGAACACTGGGAGTTCGGTCGTGGGTTTGCCCCTCACCGGACTTGTGGAGTTTTACTGGGTTTTCTCCATGTTTGTAATGCCCGAATTGGGGCCTGTTACCCTTAAAAAGACCTCCTGGAAGGCATTCCCCCCTGGGCAGATCACCTGAGTGCTGCGTTGCTGTAACTTAACTAACCAAACAAATGATTCTCTGTCTCGGTTTTGGTGTTCCCCACTTCTGACTTTCTGATCCTCTTACCGACGTACTCCAAGTGTCCAAATCATCCTAAATCTATCTTTCTGCATCTTCTTATAGGAACACTTTGACTGTTACCCTGACTATTAAGTTACATCATTTTTGTCTTTGCTTTCCCATGTTTATACAGGCTTTTCAGGCATTTCCATCTTTGATATGTCTTCTCCATTTCTCTCTTCCATCTTGGTTTTGGTCTTCCCAGCTTCCTCCTTTTGATCGCTTCTGATATCCCAATTTTTCTGATGTATTTGTGTTCAAGTCGTCTTAATCTACCTTCCTTCATTCTTCTTATTTATGGGATCTGCCTTGACTGTTCCCGACGGTTAAATCATAAATGCAAAATCTGTTATAAAGCTTGTAAATGATTTAATTAGTTTTGAGAACAGTATCGCATTCTTAACAAAATATTTAAAATAAAACTGTGCTGGACATATTGACTGGAATTTGAAATAGTAATATGGCAGATGTTGGTCAATTCGAACACTTTATTTATCATTCAGGACTTAATGTTCTGTGCACGGTAAAAGATAAAATTGCGACTCTGAATGAGGTGGATGGGATCTTATCACAGACTGTGCCTGTAGTATTAAAAAAAGAAGTCAAATAAACCGATCTACATGTGACTCAGCAAGATATAAGCCCACAAAATCGGTCTATAAACATGTGATGGGCTTAACATAACGTGCGTTGGAAGTATTCGGTGCAATTGCACTTCTTGTGTTTTATGAGATTTTAGCCATATCTAGGAAAGTGGAAAATGCTTGATTTTTAGCATTATTTTAAGAAATAGTTATGGATTTTTTTACCTTAAATTTTGCCCCATTTTTCATTTTTCAAAATTCCAGATAGACAAATTTTGAGGGACTGTATTTCACGAAGGATTGCATATAGGCTGTCGGTTCCTTTGATTTTTTTTCTCCTATGGACATGGTATACAGCTCTGTTAAGGCCCCAGTTGCCTCGTTCAGAGGTAGAGTGTTACAAATAAAACTGTAAGGGCCTATTAGCAATGCGAAAAATATACTTTCAATTAAAATTTAACATCCTTTTATTATCAGTTATATATTTATTAAACAGTCCAAATACTTTATACATGATTACATGGTTGTCTGTCATATGTTGTACCTGATTTCACAACAAGTTTGTGTACATTAGTAATATAATATATATATATATTAATAAATAAATACTGTAAAAATTCTAATGGATGTAGTTTTATATATTGAAACATTTAAAGTACTTATAAACTCTAATGACATTCTCATAGATTTGTTTTCGTTTATTGCTTTATATTTATAAATTATTTCTGACAGTATTTAATGAATTTTTTATGATAAAAACTTCTTTTTAATCCGATTCTCTGGACGATGAATTAGTTTAAAGAGAAATAAATATTTTATAAATACAATCAAACGATACAGCTTGTTCTTATCCGGCTATAATACGAATTTGCTCTATCGTCGAGAAGAATTCAGCTGTATCATTTGATTATTAACAAGTATCTAGTTCAGTTTTGCATGTAATTTTATAAATATAAATATTCTTTGTAGTAATTAGAGTAAAATTTATTTAAATATTCTTTAATTATTGTTTTCCTGAAAATATATTTATTGCTTCACTGTTTAATAATAATAATAATAATAATCCTTAAATCTATATAAATTAAAATATTTTGATCATAAAACTTTTGAATAAGCGTTGTGTCACTGGTATTGTCGTATTTTATATTCAAGTTTATTTTACAAGATATATTTTTTATTTTATGTATAAACTAAGCTGGAAAAGTACAGCAATACCAACCAAACAATACTGANTTCAAACTCGGGCAATACCAATGAGTAGTCCCGAGTCTTCATCCCCTTAAATTTTGTATAATTCTCGTGTCTAATCGATTAAAAATGAATATTTTAATATCGAGTCAACCTACAAATTATTTTTCCTACTTTTATTTGCCATAATAAAATCGTAAGTTAGATTCTTTAATAGATACAAACTATAATTATTGTATTTCCTTGATAAAAAGGAAGCTGTGTAATTATTTAAAAAAGGATGCATAGATTTACAAGTTGAAAATAAGATGTAGTAGAATGAAATTAAATGATTCTCGTAAGTAAGCCGAATCAAGACTTAATAAAAGTAATTTAGTTTCATTTTTGTTTTAATTATTTAAAATGTTTTATTATAAAAGAATTTATAAATTTATTCCATTTTTGAACACGTAACATCTGTTTTGAAGGAGAGACGGTGGCTTTGAGAAAATCAAAAGGGTTTCTGGCAAATAAAGTAATCTAGATTGACTTAGTCAAACGTTATATATGTATATTTACACAGTTTAAGAAAATTTGTAAGTAGACAATATGTAAAATTGTGTCTTATCACTTTGTCCTTTCTGTCGGCTCAGGAATTTCAAACAAAAAAAAAATCAAAAATATATAAAGTTTATTTATTTATTTTTACTTATTAATTGTTACACGTCGCGAGTTAATGTTAAATNAGACTTAATAAAAGTAATTTAGTTTCATTTTTGTTTTAATTATTTAAAATGTTTTATTATAAAAGAATTTATAAATTTATTCCATTTTTGAACACGTAACATCTGTTTTGAAGGAGAGACGGTGGCTTTGAGAAAATCAAAAGGGTTTCTGGCAAATAAAATAATCTAGATTGATATATATGTATATTTACACAATTTAAGAAAATTTATAAGTAGACAATACATAAAATTGTATCTTATCACTTTGTCCTTTCACATGCGCACGAGGAAATTTAATATTGTTCCATCATCAGAGGGATCTTGTAACATTTTATGTATTGAGGCAGACAAGTTAGCCTCAAAGGAAAGGTTGACAATAATTTTCTTTAGTTAAAAAAGTTTACTGGTAATAAATATTATATATACGGGTACCCAAAAAGTTACTGTGCAGTGAGAAATTTGTAATGGCATTAAAGCTATACGTATGGTATTACGTACGAGACCCGTATGATTGTATGTCCCGTGTTTCCGCTTTGCGGAAGATGATGTTACCACTCGTTCAAGGATATTTCAATTTTCGGATTACAGTTTTTGGAATCCTTATTTGCCGATCTCGTAATCTCCCTTGGAATCTGGCTTGCTAAGTCTCGGGAACTCACTCCTAGATTTTGGGACTTCCGAGGGACGTTTGCCATTGGAGAAACTGTAATATTGTATGGCAAAACTTAAATCTTTTCCATTGCACAGTAACTTTCCAGACACACTGTATTTTGTTGTTTCGTAATAATTATTGGATAAGAAATTTAATAACATAAACTTATATAAAATTAACTAGATCTTACATAATGTTACTGATATAGAATTCATGATATGCTACTTTTGACATTTAGCAATCTTTGGGAATAATTTCTCTATAGAAGTTTAGAACATTCTGTTGTGCATGAAGCTTTAACTAGCAGTAGTAGAGGATTTTTAAATGTTTTCAACTCGATAATAGCCACTTACAGCAAAAAAATGGTTTAATTACAGAAAAAAAATAGGCAGAACCGGTATCGATGATTGGTAAGATATACATCGATCCTAGCAGAAGCTTCATTTGGTTAAGACGAGCATTTGTAATTAATAATGCAGTCATTATCAAGATATTTATATTATTAATCAAAACGTATCCTATCAAATGAAATCTTTATTAGAAGTAAAAATGTCTCGACACAATATCGATAAAGATTTGAGGATATTTATCATCGGTATTTAATATTTAAACAATTAGATTAAGAGGATATTTCGAAATGTCACGGCTCAAACGAGCTGTCTGAATACTTGAAATGTCAGCTTGTTTTATGATTAATTTTTTATATTTCATTTGTATAGGCAGTTGCTATTTTATGTAGATAATTATATAACAGGAATTACTGTATAACTTGTTTATTTTTTATTTTTTTATTTCTGTCATATAATTTTGTGAATGATAAATTTAGATAATGAGATTAGATTAAATTAATGGTGAATTGTAATTAATCCGAAAGTTTTATTTGGATTGTGTAATGATAACAAAATTGTTTAAATGTTATATTTCAATTAGGACGTGTCGGTTTACTGTTTCTTTCAGAGTTTTTAGTTAATTTAGTATTTTCTCGAGTGCTTTCTGGTGTATCGCTTATTGTCGAAGATAGAAGGGTTTTGAGTTTAATGTAATTCTTCTATTTGAGATAATGACATAGGGAGATAATGAGAATTAACATAATGGATTGGAAGAAAGGTAGAACAACTTCATTTTGAGCCGTGGTTTGAAATTCTAATGCAGTCCCCACTACAAAGAAGGAGACTTGCATTCCCAAACAAAAAGCCTTTGGTTCTTGACTGAAAAAAGAATTTCCCAACCCATGATCAAAACAGTTGTTTTGATTGTAGATTGTAGGGGTTTTACTTGACACATTTGGGTCTTTTGT